CCCCCCGCGAAACAGGGGCGGCAGGCCCCGCCCCCCAGGCTCCAGGCGGCTGCCCTGAGTCCTCCTCTCCCCCTGCCGCCTCCACAGGGGCGGCTGGGCCCGCTCCAGGTTGGGAAATTGTTGTGTCTGCTGACCACCACCGGAGGTTCCCCCCGCGAAACAGGGGCGGCAGGCCCCGCCCCCCAGGCTCCAGGCGGCTGCCCTGAGTCCTCCTCTCCCCCTGCCGCCTCCACAGGGGCGGCTGGGCCCGCTCCAGGTTGGGAAATTGTTGTGTCTGCTGACCACCACCGGAGGTCAGCGCACATACCTGAGCTTCAGGCCTGGAAGACAATGGGGACTAGGATTCTAGTCCCTACACTGGGGGGAACCAATGGGAGCCATGGCGGGAGATTCAAACCCACCAATGGTGACCAGGGGGTGTCCCCAGGGGTGTATATAGTTGGCCTGCCAGCCGTTTATCCACATGTCTTGTTGTGTGCCTAATAAAGCGTGCTATGCACCACGTCTTGTCCATCCATGCAGCAACCCACTACATAACAAAATAAAAAAAAAACCCAGACATATTTTGGGGGGGGGGGTGTGTTGGAGCATGAGGAGAGGCGGGTTTGGGGAGGGGGGGGAATCACGACCTTCACTCAACATACATACAACAAGAGGCACGCACTGATGATGAAAACATGGAAAGAAATAAGAAGTCATTTCTGCGATAAAGCCCCTAAATGGGTATCACCTTTAGGGGCCTTAATAAAACCGACTCTGTACAATAAAAATAAGAGAATGACATAGGAGAGACTTTTAGACAGGAAGGATAACTTAAAAACACAAGAAGAACTGGCCCTGCAGAATCTTAAGCTTACTTTGGTGGGAAAATATACAATTGAAGACAAGACTCAATAAGGGCAAGAAAATAGGATTTTACACCACCAACAACGAACTGGGTAAGATATGGCTCTCCTCAAATGATAAACTAAGACAAAAACTATATAATTTTTTATTAAACAATTATTTACAAGATGAAACTATTAAAACAACCATGATAGCATGGATGAAAGAGTTAAGAGCATAGTTTCGACATAGACCAGTGGTCTAAGATGTGGAAGTCAGCTAAAATGATGAGAGCCATACCATATAAAGAAAACATTTAAAATGTTTCACAGGGGGCACTGGACACCAGATAGATGGAAATAGAAATTGTTGGAAGTGTAAAAAAAATGTTGGCACATATCTACATATATGGTGGAGATGTGAAAAAGTACAAAAGTATTGGGGTAAAATATTTAAAATTGTGAAAGAAATAACAGCATTTGAAATTCCGTTTATACCAGAAGTATGTTTATTAAATATGTTTCCAGAACAATGTAATAAGGAAAATATACATATAATAACATATATTTTTACAGCGGCTAGAATAATATCAGCAAAATGCTGGAAATCAGATATAAAACCCTCAAAAGAGGAACTGATAGAAAAACTGTTAAGGTTGCCTGAAATGGATAGGTTAAGCCTGATATTACAAGGGAAAGACCAGGAGGTATATGAAAAGAGATGGGGAAAACACTATATATGGTTGAATACGATGTAAAAAAGTGACTCACGGAAATATAAATGTAAAACTGCTAAAGGCTGTGTATGTTGGGAAATTATAAATTTTTTTAAAAATTCAGAACGTTTTCAGCATTTTTAAACTGAAGCGATTGGTTTTACCTTTTATGTTACTCCTGATTCCTGAGTTTGATACATTTGCCTTTCTGTCTTCCGATTGCTGCCCCACAGGTTGCAGCTAGTTGCTGTTTTAGAGACATCTTTGAAGGTTTTTCTAATGTGCCGGTGGGTGGTCAGTTTCCCTGTGGGAGTCCACCCTGAGCGTTAACTGAGGGAAAGAAACTCTGTCAGCAGGCCGCAGTCTGGAGTCCTCTGCCCCAAAGGACTTCTGCTCCTGGGCAGGGTGTGTGTGTGTGTGGTGTGTGTGTGGACGTGTTGCGTCTAGACGGGGTGGGGAGAGGGAGGTTCTCCCCCTGGCTGTCTCATGCCCCAGTGCCGTGGCCAACGCTTTCAGTCCCCAGGGTCTTCGTTACTACTGAGGAGCCCCTGAACTGAAAACAAATCCCAGGGCAAAGTCCTGTCACAAATTAAGCCCTGGGATCCACCACCTACCTCTCCCAGAGAAGTGAACCAGGATTTGGGGTGGGGAGATTTAACAGGGTAACATCTGCATATCTGGGATTTTCCCCGCTTCTCTGAGATGGCCAGTGGTGGTCCCCAAAGGACCCAGGGATAGGACAGATGCACAAAACACACCACAAAGATGTTTTCATTATTGTATATTCATTTTATATATTTTATATATAAAATATTCAAGTCAATTACACTCAAGCCATGAGCAAAATCCACTCAGCTGGACACATGAAGCAACAGACGGGGAGGGGGGGTTCTTATATTTACCTAAAGATTCTGTAAAGGATCACTGGAGGATCTTTTCAGAGGATATAGGATGAAAAAATAATTGTGCAGCTGCTGCTGTGTTGTTATGCGTGATCCAGATGTTTTCTTTATGGCGTCGCAGCCATTGTGGCAACACCACATTTCCCCAGAACTAATTTCAGTGCTTCTTGGCAAAGGCAGTTCTCCATCTCCACCTTGCCTAGCCTGCAGCCTGAAATCATATGAGCACCCTGTGGAATGTGGCTGCTGATAAGGGACATAATTCCCCACCACCACCACCACCACTGTTTCGTGACCGCTTAGGACACCAACCAAGCCTGCTTCTCATTCCAAAGCAATGCCATTCTGACAGCTTCCCCCACTTTGTTCCTTCTGTATTGCTTTGGACAGTATGCACTTCCATGAGCTACGCCAAGCACCTTCTCTGACTTTGCAGCAGCGGGCACGAGAGACCATTCTACAGGCACAAGGCTGGCATGAATGTCAAACTAATGGGGGGGGGGGGAGATTGATCTGGAAAGGCCCCTGGAACAATTAAAGACATGAGGAACTACTGTCTTGGAATCTATATATCTAATAGCGACTTGTGGCCCCCATCGGCAACTACTTAAATTCACAGAATGGGGCCGTGCTAATCCTAAACATATTTTTCTGCAAACTTGGGAGTACTCCCCAGGTTTGCAGAAAAATCCCCCCCCCAAAAAAAAAGTACACTGGGGATTTAAATTCCCCCCCAATATTTTTTTTAAATGTGCTGTCTGTGGGTGCACAGACAATGCACAGCAGTTGAGTTGGCGGCGGCACTCTGGGAGCCTCTCCGTGCCTGGCTGCCACAGCGGAGGGCTCCAGGAGACCCTCTGGGGCTGGCCTCCCCTGTTGCTGCAGGTGGGTGGTGGGGGCCTGGAGTCATGATGGGGGGAGAGACGGGATTCTCCCCCTCCCCTCGAGTCTCACGGGCCTCCCACTTGTACTGCCTAGTACTGGCCAGTGCTGTAAGAAAGCAATGGCCACTTGAATCTCTATGTACCCCTACTCATTCGACAACTGTGGGAGGGCTCCTGGTGTCCCGGCCCCACTGCTGGACCTCCTGGTGGCACCTGGTACTTTTGGCCACTGTGTGACAGAGTGTTGGACTGGATGGGCCACTGGCCTGATCCAACACTGGCTTCTCTTACGTTCTTAACACAAGTGCACGGACGTACAGAGAAAACTGCGCACACACACTTTGCCTTTATCAGCACCAATGAGGCAGGTGTGGTTCTTCCGTGACTGGGGCAGTGGGGTGCCACTGGCCCCCACGACTCCCTTTTGGCCACCAATATGGTGATTTGAGCAGCAACACCACACCATTGTTGTGACACAACTGACCCTTGGTATGGTGCATCCAACTGCCATTCTGCCAAACCAGCTTCTCGGAAGTTTGACTACCGTGTGTTTCAAAGGCTATGCGCATCTTTGGCTGCTCCTTCACAGTTTCCACGTTGTGTATCTTTAAAATGTATGCGGAGAAAATACCTTGAATATTCAGGCATGATTGAATATTCAAGGAAGGCACAGAAACAGTCAACGCACAAGAATGAAAGGCACAGACTTCAGAAACTATCTCAGCCAACTCCTGCCAAGCACGTTAAATGCACTTCAGAATGGAGAAACGCATGAGGTGACTGAGGACCTTGTATTGCTTCACACAAAAGGCTTCCTTGGCTGTGGGAAAAGGCACTCTTTGTACTTCCTAAGACAACCTTTCCAATATTCTGGGAATAAAAACAAGGGAGTTACCCGTGGGTATCCTGAATTTCTTACAGTTTTGAAAGTGCTTTAAGTTCTTTGGAGGTGAAAAAAGAAAGCCAGGAGGACAATCCCTGATGGGGTCTTTGCAGGCACCAACGGTTGCCAGCACCAAAGACAGGAGAAGACTGGCCCCTCTTGGACGCAGCAGCAGCAGCACCAGCTGTTTCATTTCCTCCAGGCAGCTCCTGCATCAAGCCACCCGCTGGGACTGCAAAGGGTCCTCCTCCCCACTGTGCTGTAGAACCAAAGAGCTGCAGAGCTCTGATGCTGAAGGATCTGGGGAGACGTCTTGAGACGCCGGTTGTTGATCAGGGCTGTGGCATCAAAGCCCAAGGCCGAAGACGCCAGATGCCAAAGTCAGAGACCAAATTTCACACGGCTGTCAGAGAGGCTGTTACCCATTTCCACCCAGAGATACAGAGGCCGCGGTATGGAAACACAAATGGTGACACAGTACACATCAGTGAAATCTGGTCAGCTTAACTGCAGTGACCTCAGATATGACATTTTACCCTTTCTCACTTCAAGGGCTCAGCTTATATGCTGCTCTTCTTTAACCCTACTAGAGGTACTTTGCTTTTCCGACCTGAATGGATGATAAAAGTATCTTGCATACAATAACATTGCTTCCTGCAGATTTACATGGGAGGGGACAGATCTGGCCCAAGGTGGCAACAGAAAGCAGTACAAGTACTTAGCAAGCACTCTTGGTCCCTAAGACGACATTAAGGCCGCTCTTGGAGGCAAGCCGTCTCTCTGGAGGAAAAGGCAGTTTCTTTTCGCAGAGGCAGCTCACACTTGGTGATTGTGTCCAAAAGTCCCAGGAGAATGCAAGAGCTTATTCTTGGTCACGGCAAAAGCCCAGGCCTCCAGTGCATCTTCAGACCCAGCTCTTGTGGGTCCCTGGCAGAGAGCTTTTCTCAGCATGGGCATTTTAGATCCCCTACCCGGGGATGCCAACGATCACAGGACGCATGTTCACCACTGCAGATTCCCAAGGTCACTCACAGCCTCTCTCAGTCTCATGATCCAAACACAACAGATAATTCCATCCCCCAACTGGTCCTGTTGTCTGTTTATCACTGGATGGCTGGAGAGTCTCTGATGAAAGGGGAAGGAAATCCCGCCAGGGAAAGGCCGCTAGCAGCACCAAGGCACAGGCAAGTCTTCAGTTGAGCAGAATGGCCGGGTCTCAGCAAAGCCTGCACACCAAATAGATAAGCATGGCGATCTGACTCCTAGGGGTATTCAAGATAACAGTCTGACTTTTGTTTCTTTTGGGTCACGCTGAAGATCCGCAGCTCATCCACCTCCTTGCGGGGCTGAGGGACCCGCTCCTCACATCATGGCCAGGTTCTCCAAATGGGACATGCGCAGCCTGCCGCTGTCCACTCTGCAGGTCTTAGGAGTCCGCCTGTCTTCCAAGAGAACCAGAAAGGTCTCCGTGGAGATGGCCCCAAATTCAGCCGTGAAGGTGCCATAGAAGACAAGGACGTTGATGATGAACCCCCACTCACAAAGAGCAGCCAGGTGTTGGAGCACGAAGCTCTCCTGGACGAAGAACACACCACATGGAGGCGCGAGGGTCAAGGCAGATAGCGGTCGAAAGGGCTCCCGCTGGAGGTGTAGCAAGCAACTGAATTGGGGGGGGGGTGTCAAAATGGGATTCTGCCAGCGTGACTTGTGAAGTGCCCCCAACAGCCTGCCGTGGACACACTTGGCTGGGTCCACAAAAGAGAAGGCCCAGCGGATCACCTCTTATCGGCCTGGCTTCTTCTGGTCCCCCAAGTTCCCAAATTCCATCACACCGGATGGAAGGGCAGCTGCTTGTCAGCGAGCAAAAGAGCGGCTGCAGATCATTTAAATGCCCTTCTCTGGGTGTGACACATTTACCTTTCGGAACAACTTCACCTGAAGAGACCGGACCCAACCACTCCTGCACGTGGAGATCCAGCTTCACAGCTAATATTCACCTGGGATCATCAGGGCGGGAGGAAACCCCTCTGCCTCGCCATGCCCACCAAAGGAATGGGCCATCGGAGTCCACCCGGCCTCCTGTCCCTGTTCCCCCACCCCACCCACAACAAACATCAATACCCACAAGTGGGTGGGAGGGTAGGTGGGTGGCAGGCAGAATAGGCCATTAGCCCAAGTAACCCCGGAAAGAAGAAGAAGGATGGCTGAAGCGCAAGATCCTAACCCTATAGGCAAAGCCCTGCTCTCCCCGTGGGATCTGTCGCACCACCCCATCTCAAAGGCAGATAACACAATGTTAATGTTTACCTATCCAAAACACTGAGGAAAGAAATACCTTGTAACACAGGTACACAGACTCTCTGCACACATCCCCCCCACCCCACCCCACCAAGTTATTTATTCCTGAATAGTCTGGAGAGGCGCTGAACCAGGAAAACCTAGTCACTATCTGGTAGACTGACGCGCTAGGCCATGCATGCAGGCCTATCTCCCCCGCCGCCCATCCCATGGAAGGGCGACTTAACCACACTCCCCTTCCGTTAGTCCCACACGCTGCCGGCAGTGACAACCTGTGAGTGCAGGACAACGTGTGGGACAGAGCACACGGCACGCAGGACCGGCCTTGGGAAAGGCCCACCGGAGCACTGGCCGATGCACCTGTCAGGGCCGGGAATCAGTGTGAATCATTGCCCTCCACTCTATGGCAGAACTTTCCAGTCCCAAACCTCAGGCAGCAAAGGGTCCCAGGAAGATCCTTGTGGGAGGAATTCACCCTTCCTGTGTGGGGGGGGCCAAGAGCACCCCTCCCCTCCCCTCCCCTCCCCTCCCCAGCGCTCATTCATCCACTCCCTCTCCTTCCACTCTTCCTCCTGGCTTCTCCTTTCTCTGGGTTTAGCAGCCGCTTGTGGAGGAAGGGGGAGGGATTTAGACTGGGAAACAGCCCTGGGGGAAGAGTCAAAACCTCACACCCCGCTGATCAAATCTGCAGGTACTTCTTTTGACTCAAGAGTGACCTTAGCAAGAGACCTCCTGGGGGAGGGGGGGGGGGGGAGAGAGAGAGAGAGAGAGAGAGAGAGTGTGTGTCCACAGGGGCATTCCACCTGAACCCACACCCTGCCTGAGTTTCCCCAAGGTGGTGCTGGATTCAAAGGGGAGCAGGAAGCAGCTCAAGGCACACCCCCTACCTACACGCGCACGCGCGCACCCACCCCCACCCACCCCCATATCGCTGTAGGAAGGATACTGAAGACGAGAGTGACGAAGGCCAAGACGGCAAGAGCACTGCGCAGATGGCCCGTCCAGTAGTGGCCCCTGGATTTTGCCATGCGGTACGTCAGAATCGACTGGAGGAGTAAGAAGAGCATGCTGGTGGGGAACGCCACACCTGCCCCAATGTAATGCAGCACTTTAGCCTGGTCCACCTGAGGAGAGGCAGAAGCAGAACCAGTCAG